AACAGAAAAAAGAGTTTTTTTTAAATAACGGACCACATACCCGATACTCCAATACAATAAATTGTTATATATATATATTTATAAATATATATATATACATATATATATATATATATATATATATATATATATATATATATATATATATATATATATATATAAATATATAGCAAAACTGGTAGGATTATCGACCGAAACGTAAATAACAATTTATTGTTTTGGAGTATCAGGTATGCGGTCTGTTATTAAAAAAAAACTCTTTTTGCTTTTATTACTCTATATTTCGCTGATTTTTGTCAGCTTCTTCAGGAGATAAAGATTAAGAGTTAAAATATTTAAAAATGTTGAACATAATATATTCAAAACAGTACTTAAGAATGGGTGGGAGTACAGTTTTGAATATATTATGTTCAACATTTTTAAATAGTTTAACTCTTAATCTTTATCTCCTGAAGAAGCTGAAAAAATCAGCGAAATATAGAGTAATAAAATAAAAATGAGTTTTTTTAATAACATACCGCATACCTGATACTCCAAAATAATAAATTGTTATATATATACATATATATATATATATATATATATATATAATATATATATATATATATATATATATATTATTATGATATGTAAAATCGAGAAAAATATTGGTTTGCTTACAATATTTCAAAGTTCAAAAAAATTAAAATATTTCAGTTAAGTCAAATAATAAACTACAAACATTTCGAAGAATGAAAGTCCATTATTTTTGGATTACTTGTATTAAACAGAACGTAAGATAAATAAATTATTTTCTTTGTAAAATATATTTGAGTGACGTGAATAAGCTTAAGTGAAATCCTAAACAATGGAAGCGGGTTTTCCAAATAAATTTGTGCAGTAATTAGGACAATAGAATAGATTTTAGAAAAATATGTTTTTGTTAGTTCATAAGAATTGGTAGAAAAAGATTAGTTTGTAAATAAGTTTTAGGAAATTTTATAATTGTAGGTAAAAATTTGTTTGTGTTATCGAAATGAAGAAATGGGATATGTATGACGCGTTTTGATTGGATGAGATTGAAAAAGGTGGGATGGTTGGTTTGAGAATGAGACTTTAGTTAGTTATGAAGAAAAAAAGATAGAGTTGGTTTCCAAAGGTGCAAGGCGAACGGCCGTTGTTCTCGGGTAGTTTCCCAAAGGTAGGAAGCAGTAGTCGTGAAAATTTGTGAGTTTTCGTGTAGTTAGTGTATCTGACAGAAGCTGATTCAGTAAAAGATTGTAAGACATATGTTTCTACTTATATTCCAAGAGTCAATGTTCAGGCCAACGAGAGATTCAGTTTACCGTAAAGAGAAGATATTCCAAGAGCCATTTTTCACACAGGCCAACGAGAGATTCAGTTTATCGAGAGGAGAAGAGGCTAGCATAATTTGAACGATTCGTGCATTTGAAGGAGATCATTAAGGACAATAAACTTGCAACAATTTGTTGTAAGATTGCTGATTACCTAGGGAGCTGCTAAGAATAGATAGTATAGGCTACAATGAACAAGGATTTGGACCACTCATCATCAGAGAGAGATAGTTTTGTTTTTTGCAGTTTTTCTTTTATTGATAACACAATTTTTACAATTACTTTAGAAAAGATATAAATATTTTGATTAGAAGATTTAGAATAATAATTGGGATTTTGAGATTTTACCTATATTGTTTGTACCATTAGTTTTGAAGGTTCACGTACGTAGAACAAAATTTTGAGAATTATTATATGAGATACTGTTTAATGAAAACATTTTAGTGTGAATTTTATTTCATTATTTTTATTTCAATATATAAAGTTATATCATATATGTTTTTTATTATTCCGCTATTCTTTGGATCTTACCTTTCACATGTACAGCATAGATATTGAAACAAGAATATATCCCTGAGATAAGAGAATTAAAAAGTGTGATAGAATCATAATCATATCATTTAAATAATTTTAATTAATTAATTAACTAATTAGCTAATTAATTGCTTGGCGCACTAAGACTTTGAACATCACAATAATATATATATATATATATATATATATATATAATATATATATATATATATATATATATATATATATATATATATATATATATATATATATATATATTGACAGGAGTACGACCGTCTAAATTTACATACACAATGTGAGTGAGTTAAAATCTCACTGTAAATGAGGATATCGGTCAAGGAGCAATAAAAAATGAAAAAAACTATTTCAATCTTTAAATAGAAAACGTTTCGCGCAGTATTTTTGCACTTCTTTAGCTCTAATGATTGTAAAGTCATATATAGATGTCACAAAAATGTCACAATATGTTAACAAGAACAGTATAATATAATACAATACTTCTATTCTACCGCTGATGTACAATATATCGAAACATGAAGCCAGGAGAAAAAGTAACTTGTTTTAATTAGAGCTTAGTGAACAATTCGAAAAAAAATTATTTTTATTGAAAATAAGCATGGAAAGTTAACTTAATTGTTAGAGACACCAAAGTAATTAAAAAAAGCAACTAATTTTGGTAGATAGGGATGTACTACTCCGAAGAGCAAAACAAAAAATATTATGGCTTTAGAAATCAGTTTTTGTATGAAAAATTAACTAGATGACAAAAATACTTGTTTACAGGACAGAGTAGAAAAGTCAATTTATTTGAAATCTAATTAAAAGAAGGTTGGAAATAAAATGTACCGAAGACCAATTATCCTTATTTACACTGAGATTTTAATCTCAGTCACATTATATATATATATATATATATATATATATATATATATATATATATATATATATATATATATATATATATTGAAATGATTTCAATATGTTAAAATATATACAACTTTAATAGATTTTTATATGAGTTTGTTGTTTATGAATTTCATGAAGCCATCACAATGTGGGTTCGACTCTGAAATAAAAGAGAGAAAAAGATTAGTAAATTGTTAAATAAATTAATTTTGACTTACCTGGTATAGTGTTAATAATTTCTGAATAGTATAGTTGCCTAGTGTATAGGTGAATGTCTAAACCTTAAAAAGAACAAAAAAGAAGAATTTAAAAAAAATATTTAAACATAGAAATTTTAATAAACGTCAGAAAATAAACTGCTTGACAGTTTATTTGACAGTCTGTGGGAGCTAAATTAATAGGGGTTTTGTTAAATAAGAAATTACAATGATGTGGAGATGAAAAGAATAAATTAGTATTGTAATAGAATAAGTTTTATATCTAAACATTTTTTTTTTATAAATTCCCAAATTAGATGTGATTAAAGTGATTATGAGAAAGTAATGTGGCTTGACAAATATGTCAAACAGGACAGTTTTATGGTTTAAAATATTTAAATAGAAGACAGAAAAAAAAAGAACGTTGGTTGCTGTTAGCAACGGATAATAAGAGGAATTGGTTTTTGGAGAGGACGCCGACGAGGTTTTTTTGGACGAAGGAGAGCCCTGAAACTGTGGAATAGGTCGGGAGTGTTTTTTTAACTCGTCTAATTAGAATTTAGTTTTTCCACAGTTTCCACAGCAGAGATATCCAGAAATTTGTTCCAGAGAGTAAGAGAAACAATTTCACTTATAAATTATATTGGAGTATAGAAATGTCATTTAAATTGAGAAAATTAAAATTCATGAATTAACATAATTGCGATAGGCCTTAAAAATTGAAATTATTAATGATCATTAAATTAAAAATAGAATAGTACGTACCTTAACTTCCGAAGAGAGGATTGATATTCCAGTTTCACCGATTATTTTTGAGTAGTTAGTTTCCTTTAAAGAAATCAGAACTGTTTTAAAGTGAGGTTGGACAATAATTTTGGGGATCATTTGAAATTTTGATTATATTTGAGTATCAGCGGAATAAAGTGTTCATTTTCTTTTTCTTTATAGTTCATTTAAACACTTTATAAAGTTGCAATATTTATTTAGTTTTTAGGTACTTGTAGAGAGTCTCCACATTTTGCAATACATTTTTATTGTCACGTCACTAAACCACGTTAAGACTTAAACGATTCCTATTTTTGTAAATTTTTAAAGGCAACCGAAGTTGCAGACGAATTTTATTGTTTATATTAAATTTGTTCAATATTAATAAATAACGTGCTTCATTTGGGTTAATTTATCAAAGGTCTAAAGTAAATTTTGGTTTAATTTCTTTTTGAACTCTACCAGGAGACTACAGAGTCGACGTCACACAGTGACAGATTGCTTAGAACGAACACATAATTGAGCTAGCCGAGGTATATTAAATTAAACAACGAACCACATATTATAAAAATTACATTTATTATAAAAAAAAAATAAAATTAATAAAATACAACTTTAACAACATATATATATATATATTATATATATATATATATATATATATATATATATATATATATAATAAATAAAAATATAGTATAAGTATATATGTATAAGTAAACTGTAATGGAATGTCTAGCAAAACAGACAAACCAAAAACAAAATAGTTATATCGATAGAAGGCAACCGGAAATACGTATTTCCGACTATTTGGTCGTCATCAGTACGGTGCAGTTAAGTTAGAACTGGAGCATGTTAACCTGGTAGAGGATCACTACAGAAGCAATGCCTCCAATTTGTGGTATTAGAGGGAGGAGACTCTGAGGGTTCACAGGATAACAACTAACAATAACCACGGAGGAAGCCACAGCTACCTGAGGAAAGGAATGCCAAACGTTAGAACGTTTAAAAGAAATATATAAATTGATATAATGTATTTTTATTCTAAATGCGAATTACTTTTCTAACGGATGTGAGATAAATATTCGCTGTGATTAACAAAAAATCAAAATATCACATACTGTTTTTCCACTTTGATAATAAAAACCCAGAAATATTTTGTTTGTGGGTGTTACGAAGAGATAAAGTGTTAACTTGTGATTTACTTTATACTACAAAAGATTATAAATAGTTCATCAAATTGATTTTATTTCATTCAAACACAATGATTTCTGTGGCGATCGTTTTTTTAATTTGTGCGTCGTTTGCTGAAAATGCTGTTCATTTAGGCAGGGTAAGATAAGACCTTATAAAATATATAAATTTGAGTAATAAAATAAGCTGTACGTGAGCACCTTTTAATTTTAAGTAAAGTATTTATTTAAGATTAAAACATGTTAATAATGTATAAATTTTACCACAAACATTTCCATTTACCGATATCTTTATAAAAGAAAACTTAAATTTAACTTAAAAAACCATAAACCGGGATTTCTAACATATACATAACAGCTCAATAAGATGTATGTACAATAGCTAAATTCTTACATGTTTATATGTTTCTGTCCATATTGTCATATAAGTGGCAATTTAAACTCATTTTATGAAATTATATCCTATTCTTTATTAGTTCTAGCTTTTTAGTGGCCAAACAGGCTTGGCATATTGCCTTTTTTCTCTTTTGATTATCTGTTAATTTTTTTAATATGCTATTGGCTTACTATGCTTCATTCGCTTAGCTCGGGCATATTTTGACAGAATCATTGTAGGAAACCTACAACACCACAATTCCTACTTCTCAGTATTAATAGCTCAAGTATACTACTACTGCAGACTTCTTTCTTTGAAAAAAGAAGAATTATTCTAAATAGTGGAAGTGCATACTAAACCCATCAAATTTTGGGTAGTATATATATAAAAAATATATTTTAGTTGTTACAATTTAAGATAACTATTTATTATATGGTGCAGATAAATAAATATTGATTGTCTGTAATTCGAAAAGTTCTATTTTATTTACTATTTAGTTTGTTTACCATTAATATTGGCTATAAGTACGTGTGCTTGGTTGTATAGTAATTTCCAGCCACTTTAGTCTGCGAAAAAGTAACTAACTTCGCAAAAAAATAATTAATAAATTCAATATAAGGTTGAATGTTCGAATAAATGAACTTTGATGGTACACAAGGCAAATATCGAACACAGAAGTTAATCAAATCTTGCCCAAGTACTTTCGATCACAAGATCATCCTCAGGGGCATTTCGTCAGTTGTGGCCCATCCAGCAGTAATAGAATGTCGTAAATGTAAATTGGGACATAACAAATACACTAAACAAAGACAAACAAACACTTTAAAATTTAAAAAGTGGAGAAGCTACATTTTATATAGAAGCCGGAGACAGAATGTTGAGCAAGTTGATAAAATCGTCTACCTTGGACAGCAATTAAATTGTAATGCAGAAAATCACGGCGAAATTAGATCCAGAATAGAGCAGGCTAGAGCTGCTTTTAGAAGGATGTCCAAGGTGTTATGTAACAGAGACCTAAAATTCGCATTAAGGATCCGCCTACTTCGCTGCTACGTGTTCTCGGTCTTACTTTATGCTGTCGAGTCCTGGACTGTGAATAAAATCGATTTAAATCGCCTTGAGGCTTTCGAAATGTGGTGCTATAGAAGAATTTTAAAAGTTTCCTGGGTGGAGAAGATTCGTAACTCTACATTACTAGAACGTCTCAGCAAGACTACTAAGATCATAAAAAGCATCAAGCAGAGAAAGCTGAAATATTTCGGACATGTAATGGGAGGCCCCAAATATAGATTGCTACAAAATATCATGCAAGGAAAAATAGCAGGCAAACGCAGTCCAGGACGAAGAAGAACCTCATGGTTGAAGAACTTGCGAGATTGGTATGGTGTAGATACAAGCATGCTATTTAGGGTGGCAGTGAATAAAATTAAAATAGCTATGATGGTAACCAACGTTCTGAAAGGACATGGTACATGAAGAAGAAGAATATCAAATTTATTTAGTTCCCCAAAATATACGCAGTATCTTTTTTTCTGTCTTCTACTTTTTTGTATGCATGAGATACTGCAGCAACAAATGGTCCTTACGTTTTTTCAATTATTTTTTTTTATAGCTTTAATATTTGTAGTAAAGCTACACTACACTATTTGATCTTCTATGTCTTTTCTGTCTTCAATTATACATTTGTATGGTCGTTTGAAACAATATTTATCTACCGTTAAGTCAATATCAGCTGCGTAATCGCTTACAGTGCCTACACTATATCTGTCTTCAGCAAATAGTGACATATTTGTCAGTCAGTTCCTTAATTTCTGATTATTGATATATGTAAATCTAAATGATTAATTCTGAAATCATGAATGCGTTGCCTGTATGCGTCCATTTCAAATAGGTAAAAAGAAATAAATAAGACTTACTCACTATTAGTATAATTTAACCACCTAGACGACCGGTTTTGCTTTCTACAATTTGCAAAGCATCTTCAGGTCGGTGGTACAAAGTAAATTAAATGCTAAAATTATAAAAAAGCCCATATTAGGGTGCTGTCTTATAAGATAAACATAATATAAAATCATATAAAATTACAGTAACACAATTCTCTGTTTTTGTCTACGGTTGAGTTTCGAAGCCGGGTTTGTTAAATTCAAAGCAGAAGTGCCCCCTCCCGTATCCGGGTGGTGTGGATTACCACCCGGGGATTATGTTTAAAATTTTTCATTTCTGCCAATTGTTCTGCCCTTGGATTTTTTAAGTGTGCTAGGTTGCTAACGCCTAACGCCATAAACCCCTTTTGGAGGACCTATTGATCAGCCGTCCACTCTGAATCAGACGCTGTTACTCTGGGTCAGACGCTACTATTATCAGTTGGTCCGCGTCGGGTATTTCATTTCCCCGAAACCACTCATTTTTTTTGAGGTTGCAGTCATTATTAGGGCAGGATTTTTCTTTTTTATATATTTTATATATATATATATATATATATATATATATATATATATATATATTTATATATATATATATATATATATATATATATATATTATATATATATATATATATATATATATATATATATATATATATATATATATATTAATGCACCAATGTAATTGACTCTTAACTTTTTATGTCTTCAAAAGGGCTATGATACAGATGATGATCCATTAAACATTAAAATCACAAAACTCTTGGATGTTAATTTGGAAAGCAAAACAAATTCCTGGAAAAATGACCTGAGTAGGTTCTATCAACCTCATAGAGAAGAAAATGATATTGGTAAGTGTATCTAGAAATTTATTTTTTATTTGGGTAAAGCCTTGAAGCGACTTAATATTAAAAATTAAAATTATCAAATATTATTCTGCTATTAAAATAAAATTATTTGATAGATCTTAATACAAACACCTAGCACGCTTCACATAGAGTGCTTAAACAGGCCATTCACGTTCCGATTTTTAGTCCGACCAGTGGTCCAACAGCTACCATTTCCAAGTATCGAATGTGAAAAGTAGTACTTTTCAGGAGAGCAAGAAAACTCTTTTTTAGAGAATCCTAAATCAGCGCCTTGACAAATGGAAAAATTTTATATTTTTTATATTTAATGTTTAATCCTTGTTAGATTGATAAAAGAATTAAACTGTTTACTGTTTTTTTCTTTCCAAAAAATCACATTCGATACTTTGCTTTTTGTGTTAATCAACGATTTATTTTGCTACAATGTCTCAAAATTGCGAATGTGGCATTTTCGTCAGTTTATGTTGGTAGAATTTTAACACATTCATTTGGTACAATGTTTCAAAATTGCGAATGTGGCATTTTCGACAGTTCATATTGGTTCAATGTTAACACATTTATATTCTTAATTAAAAATAAGGAATATTAAAATAATTTTAATGTTCTTACAAAGTTTATTACAAATGATTTAATTATAAATTAAAGTAGGATAAAATGGAAAAATTATGTTTAAAAAAATTGTTAAAATTATTTTTATGAAAGTATGTATTGCTAGAAAATTAATGTAACTAGAAACGTAAAAAACATTAATTATGGAACTTCACGTCCTGTAGATACCTCACGTACTCAGTCATGACCCTCAATTGTTATAAAATAACGGTAAATTAAAAGTTTTAAATTTTGAATTAAACATTATCGTTGTCTATAGTTGCGTCAGGTTCTTGAAGACAATCTCTGGCTGTACCAGATGTTGGTAAAGATTGATAATATTGGTGGTATGGCCTAGGTAATAAGTTTTGTTCACATACACTTCTAGACTATTTTGTTTGCCTCTTTCTTGTTTGGTTTCAAGAGATAAAAAGTTTCCATCAATTCTAGTCTTCATAAAAATTTATTTTCATTTTGCCGATACTGGTACCATATACCACCACTATATTTAAAATTAGTATTTCCAATAATTGTTTGCTCTTCATCTTTTACTTACTTCATTTTATTTTTCATATTGATTTTTTTTGTTCTTTGGTTTTAATTTATTTTTTAGTGCAAATGTTACCTTTCTTTGGTTGAAATCTAAGAAGTCGTTATGAAGTAGGTATGTCACTTCAAACGGGCATGGTTTAGTGCGTGCAAGTCTTATGATTTGTGCCCATCCTTCAAGGGTGTACCTATACAGGGGAATTTTTCAGTTAGATTCAATTTTTGAATAGACAAAATCGCAATCCATTTCTGAGTGACCTGGTACAAAAAACACATGGTCAATTGTTTTTAAATTTGGGTGACAATTAACAACATATTGACACATTGCAGAAAAAGCTTTTCTGTTGTCCTTTGCAATTGTCGGATATGTTCAATATGAGTGTAAGACATGATGTATTTAAATATACATGTAGCAATTTCAGTACCACCGCGTTTTCGCTCGGTTTCATCCTATATGAAACACTGGACGCTCCCTTCTATTAAATAATAAATGGCCAAATTATAAAAAGTTTTCTCACATAAACACAAGGTCCTGCAGCTCCTTTAGGCGTTGACAAAACAAATTGAAGATCGAAATTAAATGCTAATATTTTCCTATTCTCCAAAGCGGACTGTATATCTTCATCTCTTTTTTTTTCTCGCTGCATCTTGTCTTTCGAGGTGTTTCTGATGGAAAGGAGAATTACACTATGTGGACGATGTCCCAAAGACAACATTGTTTAATGTTTTTTTAAATAATTCTTGTTTTGACAAAATCACAGTTTCTGGTTTAGCTATACCCAGTTAACTGAATATTCAGATAATCAGAAACCGATAGAAACAAAATGATAAAGTGCCTCGCCGAAAGAACTTCTTAGAAGCAATAATTCACACAATTGTGAACACATGCGTTTTGTTCTTGTCAACAATGTTTAGTATTTTCGACAGTTTGCAGATTATAATTGAATAACTGTAACAATTACAACACTGAATACTAATGAATGTGACACATTCGTCATTTTGCGTTGTACAAATATGCCTTTAGTTATATTTATACAAAACACAAGTATCGAATATTTCATTTTCGTCAGTTTGCAGTATATTCGATATTTTGACCAAAACAAAATGACAAAATATTCATATTCGATGGTTTTAACAAAATTTTCCCGCGTTCCTTATCAAGCTACAATTTCCATATTTTGCTACAAGGTGTATCACGTCTAATGCAAGGACAAGGTATCGAATCTGAAAAACCCGATTTTTCACATTCGATAGTTGGAAATGGTAGGGACGAGTTGTCCGCAGTTCGGACCGTGAGTGGGCTGGTTGGATTATTTGGATAACTAGTGGTACGAGTCGGAACATCTAGAGGGACGACTTGAAGGTCCGACTTCCAACTGGCGACGAAGTGGGAGCGTAAATGGTGAAGTTGGAAATGTCATCAAGTAAAGCCTTAGTAGTTTTGCTTATTTCTATTTCTTAGAAAATTTCTGCAGTAGGTAGTCTAAGTTTTTTTTATATTCAGTATAACTTCTGCGTATTACCTCTTCATTTTTAATTTTATCCACCCTAATTGTTTTTAGTATACGGCGGTAGCACCACATCTCAAAGGTTTCAAGATTTTTAACATTCCTCTATTTAAGAGTGCGTACCTTAATACCATAAAGAAAAGTACTGAATATATAGTATTTTAACATTTTAGTTCGTAGATGAATACTAATATCACGATTACAAAATAATTTTTTCATTTTTATAAAGGTAGACCTGGCAATTTCAATACGTCTTTTTATCTCGTGATTTTTGTCACCTGTTTCATTGATGAGGGTTCCCAACTATTTGTATTCGCTTACTTTTTCAAGTTGGATACCGTTTATTGCGATACTAGTGTCATGTATTTAATTCTTACTAAAGGTCATATATTTGGTTTCTTTGACGTTCATCCTTATGCCGTAGTTATTACATATCTCATTCATACTTTCAACTAGATGTTGTAGATCTTCAGCTGTATTTGCCATTATCACAGTATTGTCAGCATATCTCGAATGTTATTGATAATTTCTCCATTGATTATTATCCCTTCGTTTGCATGTGAGAGAGCCTCTTGGCATATTTGTTCGCTGTAGATATTAAACAAGAGCAGAGACAATATACAACCCTGTCGTACTCCTCTACGTATTTCTATTATGTTTGATGTTTGGCCTTCTATTTTTATATTAGCTCACTAATTCCAGTATAGATTAGTATTATTTGTATGTCTGTGTTCTTACACTCCAGGATTTCTTTGAGTTTATTGTGGCGTACTTTATCAAAGGCCATTTCAAAGTCTATAAAGCAGGCGTGTACCATTTGATTAACATTTAGTCATCTCTGTGCTAAGACGTTTACGACAAAAAGAGCTTCTCTTGTACCTACTCCTTTTCTAAATCCCATCTGTGTATCGTTAATATCGATATCCAGCTTATCAAAGATTCGGTTGTGGATGACTCTAAGAAATATTTTAAGCAGATGACCCATTAAGGAGATTGTTTGATGATCTGAACATTGCATTGCCTTGGTTTTCTTCGGTATGATAACAAACGTAGACAGCAACCATTCTTAACGTATTATACTAGTACTGTATATTGTACTGAATAGATGTAATATTATGATTACGAATTTATCATTCAGAAGCTTTAACAGTTCTTTAGGAATTTCATCAGGTCCATTTGCTTTTCCATTTTTAGCGTTTCTTATTGCATATTCTACTTCTTCCTTCAATACGTCTGGCCCAGTTGCATTAATTATCTGATTTAAATTGTTTCTATCGTCTTCAAATAATTCATTCAGGTATTCTATCTATCTTTTTGTTTTATTTTCTAGATCTACAATAAGATTTCTATCTTTGTCTTTAAATTTACCTATTTGGCATTTCTTTATGCTTCTTGTTATATTTTTTCCTTTTTTGTGCATATTAAACGCATCGTACTTTTTGTCATAGGTTTTCATTTCTTCACACTGTTTTTTAATCCACACCTCTTTGGCTTCTTTTATTCTCTTTTTTATGTGTGTGTTAATTTCTTTGTATTTGACTAGGTAATTCTTCATCTTTCTTCTTTGTTCCATTAAGTCTAGTCTCTCTTGTGTCATCCACTCCTTATTCTTTGTTGTTGTTATTGTAAGATGTTTCTTTCTTGCTGTTTGTAGATGTATGTATTTATGTACTTTAATTTTTGGTTAATGTTATTTGTATCGTTAATTTGTTGCTGCACTGAACGGTTTTTATTTATTTCTTCTCCTGTTTCTTGTCGTATGTTTTTGTTTATGAGTTTATTTAAATCTAGTGCGTTTTTGTGTGGTCTTCTAATCTTTTTTTAGTCTCGCCTCTATCACAGTAACTACCTGGTTATGATCTGAGCCTATATCAGCTCCTGGGTACGTCTTAGTACATTGAACAGCATGACGATACCTCCTTGTTATCATAATGCAGTCTATTTGATTTCTCACATTTTTTCTTTGGTATGTTGTGGAGATGTCCATGTATATAACCGTCGAGGAGGTAACTTGAAAAACGCGTTTGTTATTAGGAAGTCTTCGCTTTGGCAAAACTGAATCAATCGATCTCCTCTGTCATTTCTGTTTCCAAGTCCATAGTTTCCTACTTGTTCTCCTACCTTATCTTGACCCACCTTGGCATTAAGATCGCCCAATACTAATGCTAATTAATGCTAATGTGTTGCTTTTTTCTTGTTTTCAGCATTTCTTCTAAATCGTTGTAGAATTGTTCTATTTAATTGTCATCTGTATCTGCTGTTGATGCATAGACTTGAAAAAGATTTAATAAGTTATGTATTTTTTTAATTTGTATTAATAGTAAGCGCTCTAAATAAGGAGTACAGGTAATCAGAGAATTTTTCCATTTCTTTGAAATGATGATTCCAACTCCATAACGACGGGTGTTGTTGTCGATTCCGGAGTAACAAAATACGCCATCATTTTGTGTTGAACATTTCCCAGATCCTGGTCATTGTGTATAGCTGATTCCTAAAACATCGATGTTTAGTCTACTCATTTCTTTTTCAACATTATCCAGTTTTTCTGCAGAGAACAAACTTTAAATATTCCTCATTGCAACTCTTAAAGTTGTTGGTTTCTGCGCTCTTCTACAGTAGGTAGTGGTTTCTTACTAAAAAACATTATGATTTGTCATGTGCGTAATAAGTCGTTAACGACTCGTCAAAATATAGTACCAGATGAAGTTGCATAAATAGGAATGAACTTGTCAAGAACCAGAAACTGTTAAATTCGACAAATTTTCTTCGAATATCTTTATGTTAGTGTGTGACTTGTCATCATAGCCTTTTATATAGATTTATAAAATACAAAAAAAAACTATAATATGCAATTTTTTTAAATTCTAATCCCATAGATGGATTATAAATAGCATAAAATATTTATTTTATATCATAAATTGTAGTCTGGTTAACAGTTTTTTAAATTTTATATCTTATAATTGCACAAACAATTAATTGTTTTTTCCTTAATTTTTAAGACAAAAAGGATGGTTATGTCCAGGTTCCCATGAAATTTTCATTCGCAGTCGACGAACAACGTAATCCTAATATTTTAGAAGGATGTAGAAATTTGGTTGGAGTCAGCCAGCCATCTTTATGTTTTTTGAAGCCATCCGCTACATCCGCAGAAAAGTATTTGGCATATCCCAGAAGTTGTAGAGAGATTCAAGAAAACGGTAAGTAAATTTATGAGCTATATAATAATATGTTATATTAACTTATAAAAAACTTCCTAGTATCCTCTTTTTTATATTCTTAGAATGTCCAGTCAGCAAACAGATGTTCGCTATTCACTTGTTTATAATTATACGGTAGAATATATATTTTGAAGTGTCAAGAATCTATATTTTCATCATTTCGAACCACCTAGGTAGATTTTTAGGCATTAATTTTTTAAACTTTGATTGTATACAAGGCAACTATCGAACACAATGATTAATTAAATCTTGCCCAAGTACTTTCGATCAATAATATTCAGTGGCATTTCGTCAGTGGTGGCCTATCCGACATAAGTAGAATGTCATACATGTAAATTTGGACATAACAATACAATACACAAAGACAAACAAACACTTTAAAATTTTTAAAAAGGAGAAGCTACATGTTATATAGAAGCCGGAGACAGAATGGGCTCTAATGCGTATGGTCTAATTTTTTATTTAATTTGGTGTGATATATACTTGAGTGCAAAATTATCGACTAAAAGCGATATTTGAGATTACACATTGTGTTTCATTGTAAGAAGTATGAAAATAAAAAAAATCAATGTGGAAACAATAACCGTATTATTGAACTTACAAAAACTGCTATTGCATTATTTGGAAGATACATTGTAAAAACAATATGGAATAAAAACAGAGTTTCCTAAATATTCGTCACTGAAACTAACGCAAGAAAGACGTTATGAACAGAGATATCATCAATTACAAAATGAATTTATTAATTATTCAGTATTTGATATTACTACCGCTACTACTAATTACACTTTCCAATCGATTTCGCATAGATCGGACGACTTTTCTAATAAATTATTGTGGCATTGCTTCCCATTATTTATCATTAAGTGTTCTGACTGATTAACCAAAATATCTCTGATGTTCCGATCTGCCATTATACCTCCTCCACGCCCTCGACCATACACGAAAATTAACTCAGTTTTTCCATCCATAGAACTGCCCAAAACATACAAGAACCGCTTTCATGACACAATTTCTCGTATACAAAAATTGGGCAAATGGCTCTCCTGGCCTTTTATAGACTTGACCTGGCCTCTTGTCGTTGCCATGTAGGAAGATCCTACTTTCATCGGAGAATAATACCTGACTCCATTGATAGTCGTCCCAATCCTGATGTTCACAAGCAAATTCTAATCGCCTTTACTTCTGCCCTTTTTGGTATCAGGTTGGCTGCCTTTAGTCTCCCTCTAACTGTTTAAACACTGGTTACCACACCTCGGACCTCTCTAAGCTCTTCTTTGAGTTTAGCACCACTCAAATGTCGATTTTTCAGAACTTTCGATACATGAAATCGATCATCTCTCCCCGTTGTTATTAGTTTACGGCCTCCTACTTGTCAACGGATATAATCAGCAGTATCTTAGTGAAGACGATACACTCGAGACAGCAGATTGGCTTAACTCTTTAGCGCGCAAATTATTTTTTCTTGTTTTTTTTTGGAATATAAAATAAAATCTTGTTTAAATGGAATGTTATTTTATAAACCATGACAAATTATAATTTAATTTTCATCACAAACTATTTTTTGACGTGGCTTCTATATGTGCCACTAACTGTCCTGAAAACTCAATAACATCTAGACTTTGGTGGCTAGCTATATAGCCACTTATTTTTTATATAAATAAATCACAAAATATTTCAAACGGGAAATTCACAAATATAACATTTCTACAAATTGTAAATAGTGACTGTTCAAAATAAAAATCTACCCAGTTTTATGAAATTCTGCGAAACATTCTAAACACAGACCAACATTACATTCACTAGGGACATGCTTCTTTACATTTGATTGAGTGGAGCAACGTGCAAATCGCCTATACTTTCTTTTTACTGGTTAATGCACTCCAATATTCGTTTTTCTGGTAAAATTATTGGTAGAAATAGAATGTCCACTTCTCCTTTTTTTGGGCATTTTTCATTGTAGTTTAAATGGATGTAACGTAGAATCGCTAAAAAGTTATAAGTTGATGAAATCCCATGACTATTAGGATTCCAAAAAAGCTTGGAGTTCATCTATCTTAATTAAAAAATTATGCCTATTTTGCATTGCATACAGATTGGTTTCCTCAACAATCTTGTTTAATAACTCATCTGAAAATATATTTTTTAAATATCTACACAGGTGTTGCTTCTTTTATGTTAGGAAAATTTGTTTTAAAATTTTGTACAAAATTAAAATTTTTGAATTTGTCTTGAAATTAATACTAACACATTATCTTCGGCGTCGCCCCCCAATGTCAGATACTTTAGCCATATCATCTGTAATGCCATTGATAAACTCATACAATTAATCAACAGATAAACGTTCTAGTTCCTCGATAGTGATGTTGTCTCTATTTGAAGTCATTATAATAAAACGTACAACAGCTACACGTGCTTTCAAAATTAAACAGCAGCACGCAACGGTTAGTGGCACACATAGAAGCCAGCTGTATCTTATTTTGGCGGGGGCAGGGCAAGTAACTTCTATAGAAGGCAGTGAGCGTTGCGCCTGATGTAAACAGCTATTACAGATCATAATCACTTGAATTTAAGTGACTTAATGGACTGTACTGTAAGTGGCTTCTATTGTTGCCACTAACTGTTAAAGGGTTAAATTTAGTCGATTTGTCACGGCCCTATGGCTCAGGCCTTCTCTCACTAATGCTACTGATTGAGCTGTGTTAATGGATGTGGTATTTATTTGTAATGTAGTTGCGAACAGTGACTGATGTATTAGTGTGTTGCTATGGACATTAATGCGTACGATGTTAACCAAAACAAGTCGGTGCGTGTCGATTTCAATGAGTCAAATTCTGACCCCCTCTCTACGTGTTAATTTATTTGTAATGGATAAGTTTTTACATAATATGTATAAGTTTTTTTGGAACTAAAAGTTCTGCCATTGTATTACACATCTGATCTATTTTAATGCTGTCGTACGCTTATTAGAAATCTATGAAGAGATTATGGATAGTTCTATCGAATTCCCATCATTTTTCAAGCAGCTGTCTTAGAGTAAAGATCTGATCTATGATCAATCTGTGTTTTCTAAAGCCCCCCCTGGTATTCCCCCGTGAAATTTTTGACAAACGTTGTCAGCCTACTTAATAGGATGTTCGATAAGATTGTATATGCCGTATTTAGTAGGGAGATTCCTCTATAATTGAAGCTATTAATGCATGAAGGTGCCAAGGCACTTTTTAACACTTTTGAGATATTAAGGTTTAAAGTTATATTGTCGGAGCTTTTTTTGTTTAACATAAAATTAAAATCAAATTGCATAAATATACAGACAATAAAAGTAATTTTGAAAGGACGATTAGATTGTACAAAATTTTTTTATGTTATATGTGTTTTTTAATTTTTTTTACAAAAAAATTAAGTTAGCACCTTTATGCACAGTCATTTATTTTATTATTCGAAATAATGACCAATAAAGAAAGAATTAACTCATATTTATTGATGAAAAGAAATACAAAATTGTGGTAATTGATAAATATAAAAGTAGGTAAGTACCTATACTTAATACTAATCACTTTCAGATCGACTTAAATTCATATAAAATCCCCGTAAATTCTCCGGAATTAATGGGAGCTGCTCTTGAATGTTATCAAATTTTTTGGTTTCTATAGACCTTGATTTATTTAATGGAACTAACAGATCTTCGTGTATTTCTGTTGCGCGGGTTGGTTTGTGTTTAATAATATCTACTTCTTTCCACTCTTCGTGCTGATCTAGTGAATATCTATATTTTGTTATACCAAATTCATCAACTCTTATCCATCGTACATTGCGGTAAAATATATTTTTGTCCTTGTTAGTTTTCTTTCTGTCAAACAAACTTAACTTTCGTGGCAATTCTTTTAAGTCAATAAATTTATCTTCCATTCTAGTTAACCCAAATGGATTCCTTTTTCTAGCTTCCCTCATTAACGTCATGTACTGGTCTACCGTATAAATATTTTGAGCTTTTCGGATAACTTTCTCGACAGCCCCAAAGTCTCTGTCAATATCCATAAAATTGTGGCCAACCTCAGGGAACTTATGGTCAATAATTTTAAAATTCCCTTGGCGACTAGGTAATGCCATAAACAAACTATAAAAAAGTTCTTATTTTGTTCACCTCCAGAATCGCTCCAGGCTACTAAATGATTATTTTCAATATTAATGTTTTGAAAGAACGATAAAATACTACTTCCCACTTCTTCTGGACCTTTACCACCTTTGTCCTCAGTCCAGAGGTAAAAAAACCCATTACCAAAACTATCACCTTTACTTACACAATGAATACCCAAATTATATAGCCACACTTGTCTAAGATAAAAGGCAACACTGGTAGACAGCTTTGGTAAAGGCAATGTTTTTTGCATATCAAAATTTATGTACAAAGTTGTACCCTCATTTGCCAAATTTCTGTCTTTTTTCTGTTCAAATTGTCACAAACCTTGCAGGTATCTGATTTTGGAGATCCAAAACCAAAGTTAAATTCGGAAACAAAAATTTGTCTGTATTGACTCTTTTTGACAAATTGCAGATTTTGTTCAGAACACTGGTTCTTATAAAGTTCATACATTTTGTTTACTGACAGCATAGGCGATAAGTACAGACGATGTTTATTTTTATTTCTCGAAAATTGTGACATTTCTGCAGGAAACGATTTAATATGTTGACGAATTATGTCAAGCTGATCGTTGGGTGTTTGGTTTTTGCGGGTCATATGGCGACCCCTCTGATCTTTACTTGGGATAGCTTGTCCCTGAGAAATTTGATTACGAATTCGCTCTATTTTCTTTTTTCCGACATTAAATAATTTTAAAAATGCACTTTTGTACACTTGTTTTGATTGTAAATCTAAAGTTACAAAATATTTGAACGATTTTTGGCGAACAGCATTTGTACAACTTGGTTGTTTAACATCTAATGGTTTAAGGCAACCAAAGAGGTAGACGTTTTTTTCA